AAAAAAAAAAAAAAGAATATTTATTTAGGGGGAGATGCCTTGTCTTTGTCCATGCCCTCATCAAGCATAGCACACACAAGTCTGCACAAGCACAGATGCTTCTACAAGTGTGTTACACAGACAGCCTCCAAGCGAGAGCTGTCCTCAGGTGGCCGCAGGCCCAGCGGGAGGAGAAGGAGTGTCTTACGGGTGGCACCCGTTCCCCTACCATCAGCCTGCCAGGGTGAGAAGGGCCCAGGCGCTCAGGCCTACTGTCTGGGGTTGCAGTTTCTGGTGACCCTTTGCTCCCCTCCAGCACCATGTAGTGGGGCCTAAGGCTGCTGCCTTTGAGGATAACTTGTTACTTGTCCACAATTCGAGGGAGCCTTTGTCCCATGATCCAGAATAGTCATTTGTTTCCTTTTCACCCTCAGTTTTCTGGGTCTTAACTCATGGTCACCCAAGGAGCTGGGAATTGAGATCATTCAGTAATCCCTGTCTCAATCTCAATACTATCGGTTTCAGTACATACCCAGTCCAACTTTTCCAACCCCAGTTCCAGCCTTTTCTTCCTTTTTATATCTGTCTGGTTCAGCCCTTATCAAGCAGGCCTGCCATGGCCAGGACATGGTGTGTTCTGGACACAGAGCTATTCGTCATATAACCTGACTTAGCCATTAGCCCCCTTTTGGGGAACCTCTGTGGTGGGTCTACCATTTGCCAGCTCCCACCTGCCTAGAGCTGTGTTTCCTGGCAAGCACATGCTTAGGGACCTGGAAGGAAGGCCAAGCCTTCTACTTTTTTTTCCCCACACATCCTATATGGAGGCTGAAAACCATTTTGCAGCCCCTTCCATTTCACTTGCCTGGGTTTTCTGAAGTGTTGCCTAGTTGTCCTAAGTGAGTAAAGCCTTTTGGGCTGATAACCTTCTTCTTTGCCAAGCCCTGGGGCAGGACTTGCATCTATAGGGTCTGATGGGTCTCTTGGGCAAGGCTGTGAGCATGGTGGTCTCAGTGTGCTCCTTTGACCTGGGCCAACTTTGTAGGACACCCGGAGTCATACAACATATACCCACACATGTGTGAATACAGGTGTCTTCTACAAGGAGAGAAAGTATGTCATAGTCCTCTAGTCCTAGCTACTTGGAAGGCTGAGACAAGAGGTTCACTTGAGCCCAAGAGTTTGAGGTTGCTGTGATCTATGATGCCAGGGCACTCTACCAAGGGTGACAAAGTGAGACTCTATGTGAAAAAAATCAATAAAAAGGAAGGCAGGTGAGGAGGACCCTAAAGAGACCAGGCTTCTGGCCCTACAACTTGAGCCCTGCAGGTTGGATCAGGCTCCCCCGATGTGGCCAAGACCTTGATCCACCATGTTAGGCAATGGCTGGTATTTTTTCCTCAGCAAAAGACAGAGGGAGTGGACTTGGGGAAAGGATAGGTGGACATTTGTGGAGCAATATTGCCGTCCAGAGAAACTTGTTTGGCCATCCTGCGAAGCCCTGCCTGGGAAGAAGTGGCCTGGGAGTGCAGTCATATCAGGGGGCACCAAGGAATGGGACCACAGATGGACCAGATCTCTCTGGGGGATTGGGTAAACATGGCCCACAGTGGATTGGGCCGTGGGGTCACCAGAGATAGGCGGCAGGCCAAGGAGGACACCCAGCACAACTGGCGAGTCCTGTAGAGGAACCCAATATTGTGGAGCCTGGTGGTGGCCATGTCCAGGCGGGCCTACAAGAATGTTGGGAAAGGGAGTCCTGTGTCTGGGCTAAGGGCAGTTTGTTTGGTGTTGCCTCCTTTGGAACAATGGGCAGGACAGCTAAGATGTCTTTTTGTCCACAGGACACCCCAGCGAAAGACTACTCTTAGCCCTTGGTGTCTCTGGCTATTGGTGGTTGTGGTGGCCAATGTGGAGATGATCCTTCTTCCTAGGCAGGAGTAGTATCATGTGGCACCATGCAGGGCCCACAGCCAAACTTTCCACTAAAACAACCAATGCAAACTCTAACTCAATGAACTTAACATAC